GGCCTGTGCAGGAGCAGCAAGGCTGGGAAAACATGTCCCTGGGGTTTGTGGAAACAGCTGGGGAAGGGTGAGTGCCCACCAAGACTCACCCTGGGGTCCCTCCCTCTGCCATGGGCAGGGTGCTGGGCCAGGAGAGCACCCACTCCCCATGCTTGGAGTGCCAGCGTTTGGCCAGGTCAGCCCCAGCAAGACCTGTGTGGCACAGCGTGATAGGGACGAGCAGGGACAAGGTGAGGTCACCCTGCCACCCAAGTCACCACCCCATAGTCCCACACACCCAGAGCCCTACAAGGAGCTAGGTTGTCCCTTCCCTGCCATGCAATCCCTGCCAGGAGAGCCCCTCGTGCCTAGGGGGGAGGCTGGATTTTAACTGACTGAAGCCTTGTGGTGGTGTGGCTGATGAGGATCTTAGTGTGAATGTGCAATTTTTGTTTCCTTGCTTCTTATGTCCCTGGTTTAAAATAAAACAACTGTGTTCACACTGCTGTGCCTGGGTGTGATTCCTGGGGCTGGGCAGGCCAAGGTGCTGCTTTCCAGCACCCTCTGGCTCATGTGTCCTTGATCCCCATTTCAAAGGCAGCTGCAGGGACAGAATTATTTCACTTTTTCCCCCCACTTGGCCTCTTCTATGAGCAGTGGCAATTCCAGGCTAGGACTGCACAAACATACTGGAAAAGACAGTGAAGCGAGAAAACCTTTAATCTTCATCTCCCTACAGTAAATGGCTTTTCTGAAGCCACATATCAGGCTGGGGTGAGGATTTTTTGGGGAGAGGAACATGATAAAAACACCCTGAATCCAGCTGGAGCACCCCAGCCCTGCAGGGTGCAGAGGTAGGGGTTGCAGACTGCCCCAACCCAGCCCTGGCCTTAGGGGCAAACCTGTGGTGGGGCTTGTTGTGGGGGTGACCAGTTCCCCTCCCTGGCACTGGGGTGGTCCCATAGTTAGCACTCAGTCCCAGGTGTTACAGAATCCCAGTGTGGCTGCAGCTGACACAAAGCTTGACTTGAGTCCAGGCAGTGGAGTGTTCCCCACAGCCCCAGCTGGAAGGGTGCAGTCCAAAATATGGTGTTTCATTCTTTCACTTGCTGCTTCTTCCTTTTCCTCTTCTTAGGAGCTGCTCCTGCCTCTGTTCCCTCTCCAGGCTGTGGG